GATTTTCTGAACTCTTTGGACCTCAAGGTTATTTACTTGCATGTCCCCATTTTTGCAGGGCATCAGTGATTTGTTTGCTTTTCGTTGGGCTCCCAACACTTCCAATTCATGGCCTTGTCATTTTGCTCATCTTCCACACCTCATGTGTTCCCCAAGGCTTTGGCTCCTGTGCTCGCCTTGTTACGTTACCAGGGCATCCCCATTGTGGGATATCTGGATGACCGGCTGTTGAAGGAACTGTTGACACAGTTCCTGCCTAAACAGACATGTGAAAACCCTTATAAAGCTTTGTCAACCCTTTGGAGCCTTCAGAGGTCAACATTGGAGCTGACTCATAACTTGACTATCTGGGTGTAATCCAGACACAGCTAAGGCCAGAGTGTTTCTGCCCCAGGAGAAACTTTAGACTCTGCTCCCAATCTTGGACCCTTCTGTCCAAGAGTTTCCTGACTCTTCACTTTCGTAAAAGAGTCATGGGGCAGATGGTAGCTTCGTACGAGACAGTTATGTTTGCCCAGTTCCACTCCAGACCTCAATAAGTCAACATCCTGTCATCATGGGACAAATAAGTTCAGTCTGTGGACAAACTGATTTTCTTGACACAGAGGACCAAGTTGTCTCTGGCCTGTCAGCCTGACAGGCTGGGGAGAATTCTAGATACCTTGTTGGTGCAGGGGACTTTGATCCTAGAGGAATCCCATCTCTCAATCAACATTATAGTACCACAAGTGATTTGGTTGTCACTACAACACTGAATATCCTGACTAGAAGGCCATCCAATTAGGATCTAGTCAGACAATGCCCTGGCACTTTGTCTGGTGTTTATATTCAAGGCAGGGACAATTGACAGACATCCTCAGGACCTGTGTTACAGATGGGGATGCTGGATGTGGACCTTCTGGCTTCCAGGTTAACCAACAAACAGAACAGGTTTGTCTCCAGGCCTAAGGATCCTGTGGAGGAAACAGGGAATGCTTTTGTGGCTTTGTCGAATCCATTAAACCTGATATATGCCTTTCTTCATGGAATTAAAATTAAGGTCTTTCTGATAATACTCATAGCTCTGAATTGGCCCAGACAAATGTTGCATTCTGACCTCATGAGACTCCCATGGACCGATTTACCCTCTTGCTTCATGATCACAGGCTTTAATGGCATGGATGTTGAAGCCCAGGTCCTGGGAGACAGGACCTCTCCTAATCTGTGATTCCTATAATTTTAAAAGCTATTCCCACAAAGTCCAGCATCGCACTGTGAAGTCTTACTTCACTTGGTGCAATGGATATAAACTTTCCAAAAAATTTTCTTTGGGCCAGATCCTGACCTTTTCGCAAATAGGCCTGCATCAGCATTTGGCTTTGAGAACCATAAAGAGGCAGATCTTGGCATTTGCAATACAAAGACTGCTAGCCTCTCATTCATTGCATCGATTAAGACCTATGTTCAGAGTGTTTCTTATGTGGCTCCCCCTGTGACTTCGCCTGTCACTTCATGGGATTTGAATTTGCTGCTCTCGGCATTTCCCTTATTTTACACTTACAAGGTTGTCTCCTTGACACCTTCACCTCTATGAGGCAGCTGGCTGTAATGTTCTGTATAGTACTACTTCTGGTCTAAAACAGGGATAAGGTTGTGTTGAGGCCTAGAGCCTCCTTCCTTCCTAAGGTGGTTTTGGCCTTTCACCTTAACCAGGACATTGTGCTTCCATCTTTCTGTCTAGCCCCAGTACAACAGAAGGAGATATCCCTTCACTGTCTGGATGTAGTTTGAGCTGTATAGTGTATGTACTCTCCAGCGCCTCAGGATATGCACAGCCAAAAGGGAAGCCAAGGGTACCAGGACAGCGACAACCAAAAGGAAATGTTCCAGGGGTGCAGCCCTCCTCAGATGGGGAAATCAGCCACTGGATAGAGAGAAAACAGGTGGCGCACACACCTAGTGCATTATCCAAGGTTTATTGTAGGAATTAAATCATAAAAACATACTCACAGACGAAGCATGTATCTAAAAAGCATAGAAAAATGACAATGGCCACAACAGCGGGCAAGGTGTTCTCACTGTCAGTGCGGTCAAATTCCTGACGTGTTTCGGAGACGAATCCCTTTTCTCAGAGCTGAAGACCAACCTCTGATGCTGATGTATGATGAATGGAAAGTAAAGTAAGAGCCTCACTGTTGATGCCTCAATAAACTCACTGTTAATTCCTACAATAAACCTTGGATAATGCAGTAGTTTGAGCTGTGCATGTTTACCTCCCAGCCACTGCTTCCATTGAAAAGATTTCTCTTTGTCACCAATAATGTCATCTCCACTGTTTCTTGGTGGCTTAGACAGATCATCACATGAACCTTAGCTATGCCTTCATTTATCTTTAGCATATTAATGCGTTTTTTAAAAATATGATCTCAATTGGAGCACTGCAGCATTGTAGCATTCTAAGCCCAGAACGTATTCAACACACACTGTTTACTATCTTTTGCTGAAAATAACTGTTCATAGTCTAAGCATGGGTATTGTCCCAATGGCAAATCTAAATGCAAACCTTAACCTGTGAAAGTATTGGAAATTGGTACTTTTTTGCAAAAAGATGAATCGTTAGCTATCTTTGTACGCATAATTGCTGTATTTTCCTTTTTTAAAATGTCAGAAAATGAGTCACTGAGTGAAAATATATTTGGTGCAAGAAAATATATTATATTTAACCTTTTCAGCAGCAATATGCTTTACTGGCAATAACCTGATGCTTGTAGAGGAGCCTTGCCAGGGGGGAAGCAGCTTCAGTCATTAATCCTGATGTGTTCAGTTGAGCTACCTCAATGTCATCATTCAGTAACTCTGTATTACAATATGTGCTGAGTTTTGCAGGTTCAGGGTCAGATTTTCCACTTTACTTTTTGCTGTCTGGCAATTTACATGAAAAGCTATTACGTATTATGATAAAATAATATAAAATAAAATGTTTGACATCACATCTGTGCATTTTAAGTGGATCACAGGCAGCTCTTACATCTCAGTTGATGTTTCGAGCATACTACATTACATAGAAATAAATGGTAATGTGTAAAATGCACCTAATGCTCAGAACACCCTCAATGCATAGATGTGATTAGGTCCTATACACACTGTACATACACTGTACAGAGCATATATTCCAATATGAGTATAAGCAGTGAATGCAGTACAAGGCACAATGTAAAACAATGGTGTTTACCTAAAGAATTCCTTCCTGACCAGAGCTGGCTTTTTAGTGCTTATAGGCCATTTTATTGTGCCATGCCCAAACCTGAATCTAAGTTTAACATGGCTTGTAATTTCCATATAAGGGACAATAATTAAAGTATTTTTTCCCCATGATTAGAGAAATAACATCTGTAAAGCAGGTGTCATACTGTTGCTTTCCAGAATCTTGCCATCTTTGAAAAAGGTCTCTGTGGCCTGTTCTTGTGTTTGGACTCCATATGCTTTCTAACTTTCAGCTTAATGTGTTACCGTCACTTGCATGTATCCAACCACAGAACTATGCTGCAGAGCAGGGGTGTCAAACTGGCAGCCCTCCAGCTGTTGTGAAACTACAAGTCCCATCATGCCTCTGCCTTTGGGAGTCATGCTTGTAACTGTCAATCTTGCAATGCCTCATGGGACTTGTAGTTTGGCAACAGCTGGAGGGCCGCCAGTTTGACACCTGTGCTGTAGAGGTACCATAACAGTCTTGTCCATCAGGTAAAAGTTTCTGTGAAACTAACCTGACCTCATTCTCAAAAATTATGTCATTTCTATTTACAATTTGCCTTCAACCATAATTTAAAGCTACACACAGCAAAACATAGAATATAATTTTATTTTAGATTAAATTGCTTGGTGGTTGTAAATTCGTTTTTATTTTAACTGTTGCCAACTTCTACAGCATTAGGCCCCTTTCATACGTGTGAACCATTCGCTTTATTAGTTCAGTCATGTAACAGACATCAGTTTTTCATCAGTTTACATCAGTTTACCATCAGTTTTTCACATCCACTACCAATGCAGAAACGGAAGCAGAAATGAACAATTTGTCCGTTTACATCCATTTTTTTGTAGATACATTCTCATCTAAGAAACGGATGAGTGAAAAATGGACAAGCGGTCTGCACGTGTGAAAGGGGCCTTATGCTTACCTTGTTCTTCCAATTACCATACAGTCAAATTTGTGTTAACTATAAACAATTTCCCAGAGCCATTGTAGGAAGGTATTGAAATACAATAAAAGACCCATAGAGAAAACAAAATGTACAAAAAGTAGGTGTACCAGGTGGCACATTTTCAAATAATTTTGTATTTTTTTTACCACTTTGATACTTTACTGTATCTTTGACTGTTTACTAACAACCTAAAATACCACCGTATGGTCAGATTTTGAAAGATGTTTGGAGTTTAGGTTGTTGTCTATGTTAACATTTGCACAGGTTGAATTGGGGGGTTGGAATTCTAGCCATTTAGGAAGTAAAAATAATAGTTACCCAATGTCGAAGTTTAAATGAGCTTGTTGCTAAAGGGTTAGTGCACCCCAAAGTAAGATTTCCCCTAACTTCCTGTCTTCATGACCACTGTCACCAGGAAAGGAAATGAAGGTCATACCCAATGGGGACATAACCAGCAATAAAAACTTTGCAAATTTCAAACCTTCCCAATTCCCAAACAAAAAAATATTATGGTTGATAGTTCAGTGATGTTCATAAGTGAATTTGAATTGTTGCCTTTTATGTTGTGAATATCATATTTATCGTACTTATTGAAGGCGTAGATTGTCCTTTTTTATATGTGACTCCTTCTCAATGGTGACAGTATGCAGACCTGGGAGTTGAAACAAGGATATCTAACCACTGGCATTTTTGAGATACACAAAATAATTTACATCTACCAAAAACAAAAAAAATAGATTTTTGGGTTTACTGACCCTTTAATTGACCTCTTGCTTAGTGCAATTTCTCTATATGCTGATTAACTATACACTTTTTTTTTTAATAGGACAGGAGTCCCATTCACCGGATTCAGGTACACATATGTTTTTGTTGTATAGCGTCTCATCAATGTATAACTGGGGATTACAAGCTACATCAGGTGCAGAGTAGCTGGTAGTTATCTACGCTGTATTCACTGGGGTCACATATCTGGTGCTGTAAATATAATCTGATTTAACTCTAGATATCTGGAGCTCTTACAATGATTGTATCAAAGATGGTCTGAATGGTGACTCAAGTGGTTCCTCCCTTGCAGCAAAAGGCTTTAGAAGTGTCCGTCCTAATTTACAAGAAAAGAAATCGCCATCTCAGGTAAGTATATTTTGCTTTTACTACTAGTAGTTAACTGGTATGGTTTCAGCAAAGCAAATTATATTTTGGTGTTAGGTTATGTTATATAATGATACAAATCAGAAACCAACACGTTAGCATGTGTTAAACTGATCCTATTTATCAGACTGAGAAATGACGAGGAAATGAATAACTGAATTTAGTATACTGTTTTTTACAGATGACCATTTCAGCTACATGTAACAGTACTTACTAGTTAGGCACTGTTGTGGTATGTGTTATCCAGACACCATTTATCCTGAAGTTTAGAAAACCGGAAAGAAACAACATAAGTGAAGAACAGCTGCTGCTGTCCGTTAATGATTGTGTGTGCATAGATGTGATTGCCAGACATTGTGTGTTCCAGAAATTGTGTGGTGGGCTGATACATATTCTACTGTGCTTAAGAATGCCAGGAATGGTGGAAGGAAGATCAGTGATATATTCGTTCAGCTACAATTTAATATATATAATTCTATAAGTTATAAAATGGCCTTAAACATGCATAAACACGACCACTTTTGAAAATTCTGTATTTGCATGTTTATAATGTGTGCCAGTTCACTTAGCCCCCATTCTCACTATGTAGCATGGTAGCATGTTGCGTGTACATGTGTTTTCCACACATTGTCACATTTTGCCCATAGGGGAAACCATTTATTTTAATGCTGCCTTACATGGGAAAAACACTTCAAAATAGGCTGAAGTAGTTTTAATCGTTGAGCCATGCAGTTTGACTTTTTGTTTTGCTGCATATGAGTGCCATTAACAGAGAATGACATGCGTTTTTTGTGCTACTGTATTGTAAATGGCCTGTCACCAACAAAAGAGGTCTTGAGCATGCAGCAGCTTACATGTTAGCATGTTTTAATGTATGTCTAAAACATTGTAAAAGTAGAGAGAAGGGAAGAGCTAAAACCCTGTGAGGTTTTCTATGCTGTCTTCTTTTGGAGAGATTTTTTTCCTTTTATTTCCTGTATTGAAAAACAACAGGAAGTGAGAGAGAAATTTCTCTAAAAGAAGCAAGTCGTATATTAGGGAGTTATCACTGGAACAAGTGACCCCAATTGAATTTTTACTCTCCATTCCTGTTCCAGTAATAACGTACAATTTGGACTTTCAGTCCAGATTTATATGGTCCTAAGGACAAACAGAGAGAGTGAACCATCCCAATGGGGACACATACAACAATTAAAACCTGACAAAAAATGATAACCCTTCCAGACTTTATGTAACAGGAGAAAATGGCTTGTACACTTGCATCATTGTTTTAATAAATAGCACATTGTAATAATACATTTAGGAAAATTCTGCCTACATGTGTATTATAATATATAATAACAGTACCACCAGGGTGGATTTGATTTAAATCAAATTGATTTAAAGCACTAGTGAAAAGGCATGATTTAAATTATAATTTTTAAAGAGCAACTGTCATCTCTGTCCCACAGCGGCTCCTCCTCTGACCAGCTGTTGACTTACCAACAGTCCCATTCACTTTAATGGGACGGCTGGTGATGCGGCAGTGACACAACAAGGTGAGGGACGTGGTGGCAGCAGCAAGTGAGTGGATGCCCCCTAACAGGCACTGCCATGATGGATCTAAAATGACAGGTGCTCTTTAAATGTAAGGACTCATTCTTGCTGGTAGTTAGAATCTTTAATATTTGCAAACCAAATGAAGGTTTCCTTTTTAGAATAATAAGCTGTCAGGTTAGTAAAACAGTGATATCAGAACCGATTTTAGGTTAATAGGATAATCACACATGGTTGGAGAACTACTCAAATTCTTTTATTTCATTTTTTTTTTCTCATGGTTACAGTGAAATTGTGTGAATGCATCAATGCAGTGCATGTTATCTCAGCTTGCAGAGCTTGGATTCATTGAATGAATTTACCAAAAAAAATATTGCAGAAAATACAGCTTCATACTACATAACTAAGCTCATTTCACGCTGAATAAACTAAATTATTAATGTATCTTAACCACTTGCCCTCCTGAGGATTTATCCCCTTTAATGACCAGGCCTCTTTTTGCTACTCGGCGCTGCACTAATTCAACTGATTTAAATCAAGGAATGCGCTAAAACCACAAACTATTCCTAATTTAGTGTAGAAACATTAGTGCAAAAGATATATATATCTATTATCAATTAATATCAAAAAATATCAAATTATGTGCAAAACATAAGTAATTTAAATAATTAAATTTTTGTGAATATAAAAAAAAACAAAAATGTCCAATTCTGAATTTCTTCAAATGTCCAAATAAATCCTTTCCAAATTCAGGTGCTCTCAAAAAAATTGTGCCAAAATCCACCACCAAAAGTAAAGTTGGGTAACTCACCAGAGCTCCATGCTGATCAATCTCTAGATCAGCAAAAAACGCTTTTTGCTCTGGGAGCAGATGCAATGAATCAACTTCTCAGGTGTGATGATCAATAGCTACACATTCATCCATAAGGTAGGTATCCACCACTCAATATAATGGTTCCAGGAGCATTATATCACTCTCTCTTTTTATATCTCTCCACCGAGGTCATGTTTGGGAATGAAAGAGAAAAATCATGGTGCAGCCAGTTTTTTTATAAAAGTATCCAACAATTTAATAAAGATTTACACTCACAAAAAGGGTGTCTTCACCGACACCAGTATAACAGCATAAAACAGCAAATGGTATATACAGTCTCCTGTTCCCCGTACACTCACTACAGCGCTCGTGACTTAATTTTCTCCACAAACGTCAGCATCCAGTAAGCCCTACTAGTTTCGTCATGAATGACGTCTTCAAGGGGCGGTCTGATAATTGCGCGGTCATGCAATGCTGCACCCAAACAAAATTTACATCCTTTTTTTCACACAAATAGAGCTTTCATTCGGTGGTATTTGATCACCTGTGCGCTTTTTATTTTTCACGCTATAAACAAAAAAAGACCAAAAATTTTGAAGAAAAACGATATTTTTTACTTTCAGCTATAAAAAATATATAGTACACTCAAAGTTAGTTATAAATTTAGGCCAAAATGTATTCTGCTACATGTTTTTGGTAAAAAAAAATCCCAATAAGTGTATATTGATTGCTTTGTGTGAAGGTTATAGCGTCTACAAACTATGGTATAGATACTGCAATGTACGCCATTTTTTTGCTATACAGCGCTGCGCTAATTTAATGGACAATTGCGCGTTCATGCAATACGGTACATAAATGAAATTTACATCCTTTTTTCCCACAAATTGAGCTTTCTTTTGGTGGTATTTGATTGGCTGTACGTTTTTTATTTTTTGCGCTATAAAGAAAAAAGTCTGACAATTTTGAGAAAAAAAAAAAACGATATTTTGGACTTTTTGCTATAAAACATGTCCAGTAAAAAAAAAATGTAAAAATCAAATTTAGTCATAAATTTCTACCTAAATGTATTCTGCGACATGTCTTTGCTTAAAAAAAATCCCAGCACGTGTAAATTAATCGGTTTACGTGAAAGTTATAGCATCTACAAATGGCGGGAAAGATACTGGGATTTTTTTTTTATTATACTAATAATGGCGGTGATCAGCGATTTATGACAGTGATCAGCGACTTATGGCGGGACTGCGGCGGACATTTTGACACTGGGGGGGACCTGACTTGGGGTCACTGACACCCCCAGTGACACCAATACAGTGATCATTGCAAAAAAAAAAAACACTGACACTGTACTAATGGCACTGGGGAGGAAGGGGTTAACGTTTTTATTCAATGAAAGGGTTAACTGTGTGAGGGGAGTGTTTTACTAGGGGGCAGGGGTGTGTACTGCATGGGAACACGCTGATCTGGAGAGATAAACTCTTCTCTCCGGATCAGCATGTCAGGAGCTGACAGGGAACTGACAGAAAGCAGAGGTGCAGTGTAAACACTGCAGCCGAGCTCTCTGTCAGTGATTGCCGCTAATCACTGGGACACAGCAGGTAATGACCGGCCGTGACCCGGTGACTGACACCCGCGGCCACGATCATCGGCGCAGGTAGGGCGGTGGCGCGCCTCGTGCACGCCCCCTACCTGTTTTGCAAAACCACGTTTTATAACGTGGTTTTGTGCAGTCGTGCCGCCCTGCCGCGGTATTTCTACAGTGGCTGGTCGGCAAGAAGTTAAATACAAAACTATCTTTAGATAGATTTTTACTCTAAACCCATTTTTTAAATAACAAAAATCAGATTTTTTTTTTGAAATTTTTTTAAAAAATCATCGATTTTTATCCACTCTGAGCACCACAAAATTTTCTATACAACTGTTTCTTTTTTTATTCTTTTTTTTTTTTGTGAAAGACATAGTTTAACAATCGCATTGATAGACATAAAGCAGCACAGATACCGTGAATAAAGTAAACATAGGTTAATGTGTGCATCCAATAAAATGGAGTCTTGAGGGCTAAAGCCTCTAATATGCCAAATACAAAGCGATAAGAAACGTCAACCATATAATGGAGGAATTATGGATTTTATTTTGTGGCATCATGTCATATTATGAGTTGTGACTAATGCCGTGTAGGCTGAAACGTATCAACTTACTGTATTTGTGATACATGTACCGTGGTCTCTACAATAAATGAAGAGTTTAAGAGCAGTAGCAGTAGTGCAGATTGTTTTCTTCATCAAATATGATGGAGGAATACCTCCAAGTAAGGGTAACTGTCCTTCCCAGCTAGCTGCCATCTGAGATTCTGAACACAATGCCTCAGAAGGAAATAATTTTGTGTAATTATTGAAATAGGGTGCAGACAGTACCCGAAAAAGGAGATATAAAAGAAGAAAAAGGAATAAACCCCAGGAGGGAGGGGCAGAAGGAGTGGTGAAGGGGAATGTGCCACGGGGAGGGGAGTGAAGGAGACTAGAGCTAATTTGCACCCTAGAAATATATATCAAAGGCCCAGCTGAAGAAAACTAATGTGGGACCTATTAGTCAGTGCCTGGTGGTGAATTAGGGCCAGCCAGGGGACATCCATCCC